TTTCTATCCTATCACTTTTAGTCTATGTGTATCCTTTATCTGAAGTCTCCTCTAGTCACCACATAGTTACAGCTGGTTGTATTTTAATCCATTCAGCCACTCTGTCTTTTGATTGGAGAATTTAATGCATTTAAAGTAATTACTGATAGTAAGATGTACTACCTCAATTTTGTACACTGTTTTCACTGTTTTGTAGTTCCTTTTCCCTTTCTTATTCTTTTTGCAATATAACAATGTCTTGTGGCTCTATGCTTTGACTCCTTTCTCTTTATCTTTTGTGTACCTACTAGGCTTTTTCTTTGTGATTACCATGATGCTTACCTAAAACACGTTACAACTGTATCAGTCTATGTTAAGCTGAACACATACAAAAACTTTACACTTTAATTTCTTTTCTCCCCATGTTTTGTTATTAATATTACAATTTGTCTTTACACAATGTGTATCAATTAACACATTATTGTAGCTAGTTTAACAAATATTTTTCTTTTAACTTTCATATCAGAGTTAAAAAGCAATTTACAAACCACCATTACAGTGTTCTGAATTCGACTATATTCTCACCTGTACAGTAAGTTTTATACTTTCATATGTTTTTACGTTGTACGTTAGCATCTTTTATTTCAACTTGAAGAACTCGCATTAAAATTTCTTGTGAGGCAGGTCTAGTGTGTCAAATTCTCACAGCTTGTTTTCTTGGCAAGTTTTTATCTCTACTACATTTCTGAAGGACAGCCTTGGTGGATATAGTTTCTTGGTTGAGTTTCTTTGGCCAAACATATCATTTCACTCTCCTGGTCTGCAAGGTAACTGCTGATAGTTTTATAAAGGTTCTTGTGCCTGTAATAAGTGACTTTTCTGTTGCTGCTTTAAAAATTTGAGAACTTGATGTTTCAGTGAAAATTTCTTTATACTTCATCTATGTGGGGTTCCTTGAGATTCAGAGACATGCATGTTCATTTCCGTCTCCAGATTTGGGAAATTTTCTGTCTTTATGTCTTTCAGGAAGCTTTCTTCCTTTTTTCTTTCTTTGCTTTTTCTAGAAGTGTCATAATGCACAGGTTTGTTTACTTGATGGTGTCTTAAAGGCTCATAGGCTTTCTTCACTTTTTGTTTCCTCTAACAAGGTAATTTCAACGGCTCTGTCTTTGAGCTTGTTGATTCCTTATTTTGCTTGATGAAGTATGCTGTTGTAGTTCTTTATTGAATTTGTCAGTTCAGTTACTGTGCATTTGAGTTCTAGAGTTTAAGTATGTTTTCTCTTTCTTTGTTAAACTTCTCATTTTCTTCATGTAAATTTCCTTATTTTGGTTAGTTGTCCGTGTCCTCTTGTAGCTCATTGGGCTTTAGATAATCATATTGAATTATTTCCCAGGCAGTTTTTAGATGGTCATTTCTTTATAGTCATCTACTGGTGCTTTTTTTTTCTTCTTCTGGTGGCATCATGTTTCTCTGATTATTCATGATGCTTATAGTTTGTGTTGGTATTTGCACATTTAAAAAAGTAGGCACCTATTCCAAGCTTAATAGACTGGCTTTGGCAGAGAAAGCCTTTCACCAGTCTGCCAGTCCAGAGGTTCATGGTGGGTAATCTAGTGGGGTCCTCATGGGGGCTGGCCTGATGCCCCGGTCCTCAGGGGCCAGCCTGCACCTGGGGTCTACCGGGCAGACCTGGACCTTGAGCCACCGGGACTGGTCTGGAGTCTGGAACTGTGGAAGCCTACCTGGGGCACCATTTTCAATTGTACGTTTCAGCAGATGTTGGTATTTTCAGAGTCATGAAACCATCACCACTAAGTTTAGAACACTGTTAACACCACAAAAAGAAACTCCGTACCAATTAGCACTGTGTAACTATGTTTCACCTTTGTAGGAAAGATGTGCATAACTTTGCAGCAACTTTTAAGACATATTGCTCAGTTCACCATTTCACCCTAAAAGTGGTGATGAAAATGCAGACAAGCCCTTGATGAACTAAGAGAAATATCTGGGTGTCCAAGAAATAAAGCTTTGTTAAGCTACTAAGATTTTGGCAGTGGTTTTCAGACACGGAATAATCTAGTCTAACATGAATAACAAACACAGGATAAAAGTCTGTTTAATGAGAAACTACCTAGAAGAAGCAAAAATTTTTTTAAAATGTTTAGAGTTGATTATTTTAAAATGACTCTGAACACTAATCACCTTCTTGAAATGGGGAAAAAAAAGAGGCTGATTTTGAGTCAGGTAATCATTAAAAAGAAGTTACTTCATTTGAGCTAAGAAAAAGATAGCCACTTATATTTATCAAAACGATGTTCCAATATGACTCTCTCATGAACTTTGCTCTGTGGAGGAAAGCAGGATAGGTAGCACTGTGTGATACAGTTATGTTTTTCTTAAAAAAAAGGATTTATTTTTTCTTTCTATAATTCTGTTTGAAATTTATTTGGTCTGTGGTATAAGATGAGGTCCTAGATTGATACCCTATCCTAAACACTTTTCCTTTAGCCTATATTAAACATAATCTTTCTTCTTAAATGAGTAATCAGAATACCCCAGGTTTCCATTTTTGATATCACATCACTGTTCAGTATAGTCGTGAAATAAAATATGTGAGATATTCCATAATGATCTTAAGACAGACGCCATTCATTACCAATGCTACAGGCCTAGTTTAGGTTTTTATTATTCATCATCACTGCAAAGTCCTCTCAACTAATCTCCATGCCTTGTTTTCTCCTCTTCTAATCTATTCTTTACTAGTTGCCAGATTAAACGTCCACAAACACAGTTCTGATTATGACACTTTCTTATACAAAGACCTTCATTAGTTTTGTTCTGAGAAAATAAATAGTTTAGACAGGCATTCGTATTATTTTGCTAGAGATACTATAACAAAGTCCCACAAACTGGATGGCTGAAACAACAGAATTTTATTGTCTCACAGTTCTGGAGGCAAAAGTCTGAGATAAAGTATTGACAGGGTTGTTCTTCTGAGGAATGAGGAAAAATGTATTCAATGCCTATCCCCTAACTTCTGGTGGTTTTCTGGCATCTTTGCCATTTCTTAGCTTATAGAAGAAGTATCTTAAACTCTACCTTTATCTTCACATGATATTCTACTTGAGTCTGTGTTCAAATTTCCTCCTTTTATCAGAACATCAGCAACACCGTATTACAGTCCACCCTACTGAAAGATTATCTTAACTAATTACACCTGCAACAACCTCATTTCCAAATAAAGTCATATTTTGAGGTGGTAGGGGTTAGGACTTCAACACAAATTTTGGGAGGGATACATATGAATCCTTAATAGTATTCAAGGCTCTCCATAAGGTTTCCTACTTACCTTTTCAGTTTTATCCCTCATTACCTTGTTTCTTCACTTTATACCTGAGGCAGTGTAGACAACAAGAAGCCCTGCCCTTTTATGAATCATTTCCATTTCTGTGTATTACTTCTCTCCAATTCATTTGTATCTATTCACTAAATCATATACATTCTTCAAGGTCAAGCTTAAATGATCCATCTTCCATAAGGATAAACACAAATTTCTTATCTAAAAACAACTTCTCTCTTTTTTGCCTCCCTAAGTACATTATTTATACCTGTCTTCTGCAATTTAGCATGTCTTAACTTGTGTTGTACATGGCTTACCTAGTCTGTTACTACCAGACAGTAAGTCTTTTATAAGAATGAGGTACACATTTGACACATCTTTTACTTTTCCCACGGTTCTTTTCATAGTACTTATAATAATTATTTATTGAACAAAGTTGTGAATATCACATAAATTACAGTTTAAAATCTTTGATACTGGTTATTTTATAGGATTATTTTTTATGATTGCAGAAAAATTCTTAACAGATGTTTTTGTTGTTGTTGAGACCAGACTCATGCTGTCACTCAGGCTGGAGTACTGTGGCACGAGCACAGCTCCCTGCAGCCTTGACCTCCTGGGTCAAGGAATGCTTCCACTTCAGCCTCCTGAGTAGCTGGGATCACAGGCATGTGCCACCACACCTGGCTAATGTTTAAAATTTTTTTGTAGAGATGGAATCTCCCTATGTTGCTCTGGCTGGTCTCGAGCTTCTGGGGTCAAGTGATCATCCTGTCTTGGCCTCCTAAAGTCTTGAGATTTATAGGTATGAGCCACCATACCTGGCTGATGCTTTTCTCTTTAATATATAGTATGAAAATGAACAAATGTTTTCCAGCCAATACATAGTTTCAGACTCTAATCCTGACCCTATCTAACCAATTAGATAATTTGATATTACCAATATCCTGCAAAAGCCCATTAAATAACCCTATATTTTTCATACAATCTTGCTTTTAGAAGTTCTAATAAAACCAAAAGAAGTTTCATTTCATTCATTGTCACAGTTGGTTCAATACTTATCAATCCCATTCAAAGTAGTTCAAACTTATTGTTGAAAAGGTAGAGAATTTCAGAAAATTTAAAACTGAGAAATGGTACCAAAGCCATACAAAGATTTGAGAGATTTGAGCTAGAATCTACTTCCTAAGAAGTAGGGGTGCTTTGCCTATTCTCTTTTTTTTTTTTTTTTTTTGAGACGGAGTTTCGCTCTTGTTACCCAGGCTGGAGTGCAATGGCGCGATCTCGGCTCACCGCAACCTCCGCCTCCTGGGTTCAGGCAATTCTCCTGCCTCAGCCTCCTGAGTAGCTGGGATTACAGGCACGCGCCACCATGCCCAGCTAATTTTTTGTATTTTTAGTAGAGACGGGGTTTCACCATGTTGACCAGGATGGTCTCGATCTCTTGACCTCGTGATCCACCCGCCTCGGCCTCCCAAAGTGCTGGGATTACAGGCTTGAGCCACCGCGCCCGGCCCGCCTATTCTCTTTTTAGAAGAAAAAGTGAATTCTATATATTACATGCTTTCTTTGCCTTCACATAGATGTATAAGGATATTCAAATATGGCACAATTTTAAATAAATAAATAACTATAAAATAAACCTTCCGAATTTAGTCATTAAGAATGTGTCAAGATATTTCTTCTATACAACCGTTTTTAATGAATAAGATATCATTAAGAGTTTATACATTCTAAACAAGCACTTTAAATAAATTTTGGTATTTACTAACTTAAGTATTCAAGAACCTGGTTTGAAGAGTCCAACAGACTGAAAGTCTGCTTTTCAAGAGTACTGTGATCATCTATCAATGGAGAGATTTTCGTATTTCTATATTCTAATAGTTCACGATCCTTGCTTGATGTCAGTAATTCATTATCAACTATACCAATAGTTGCATCTTCCACCAGAATATTTGCTTGGTATGCTCCAACTGGAATATCAGGCAATCCAATGTAGTCATGATCTGCCACTACTGAACCGTGCAAGAGATATAGACTTTCTGAAAGAAGATAAATCATACATGTGACTTTTAGAATAATAAACATATTTTAAAATTAAATAATGTTAAGTGAGAAATAAAATCCCAAGTAATAAAAATTAACTATCAAGATTAACTTCTAGGGAGTTCTACTGTCTACTAAATAACTATGAATGTCAAAGAATAAATTAAATGAGATATAAATTTGACAGTTCATACATAAAAAATGCAGGAAAGGTCAAGGATTTTAAAACAGCCATTTTCCTGTTCCCTCGACCTGTCCTTGGTAGATATGTATCTATGGGGAACAAGGGGTAGAAGGAGTGAGAATTATGGCATAGATTAAAAATAAAATTATAAGGCTGGACATGGTGGCTCACGCCTGTAATCTCAGCACTTTGTAAGGCCAAAGCCAGTAGAATGCTTAAGTCCCAGAGTTCGAGACCAGCCTGGCCAACATGGCGAAACCCCGTCTCTACAAAAAATACAAAAAAAATAGCAAGGTGTGGTTGCCTGTGCCTGCGGTCCTAGCTACTCAGGAGGCTGAGAAGCATCACTTGAGCCTGGGTGGTTAAGGTTGCAATGAGCTGTGATGGCACCACTACACTCTAGTGTGGGCGACAGAAGACCCTATCTCAAAAAAAAAAATGATAAAACTATTTTTGATAATGGTATCCTTAATATGCCTCTGTAAAGCATTTTTGGATAAATTAAGAGGGTCATAGAATGATTTTAACAAATAGAATTATCAAATCCTTGCATTTACAACTTGAGATCATTTTCTTATCTTTAAAATCCCCGTATTGGGAAGATAATATCAAATTGTTACAGTATGAAGTTAAAAACAACATGCCAACTCAGGTTTTTGTGCTAGAAATGTGTAAGAAGGCAGGCTGCAATGGAATAGCTTAAAAAGCTTAGCTTATTTAAATCTAAGCTTAAATAAGCTTAGATTATTTAAGCTTAGATTTAATAATGCCAAAATTCTTAGGAACTTTTAAGGTCTACCTAAGCCATACTGAAGTATTGACAGGGAATCTTCCTTGTCAGCATTTTATTGTATTTTGAGCAAATTTATCATCACCATCAGAAAAAAAAATGTTTAAAATGAATGTTAAACTGATGGCAAATCTTCTGTAGAAAGATTAATATGTATGAAAGGATTCCTCCCTATCTGATATTTTAATTCGTTGCAAGAAGACGTTATTTTACCAAAGCTGATTAACTTCCTGAACCCCTGCCTTTTCTAAATTTGCCCCCAAAACATCAAAATATAGACAAAGCTATATTCATTTATCTCTATTTATTTATTTTTCTTTCATTTATTTATTCATTCATTCATTCATGGTCTTACTCTGTCACCCAGGCTGGAGTGCAATGGCATGAATAGCGGGGACTACAGGCACATGTCACCATGTCCAGCTAATTATATTGCCTAGGTTGGTCTCCTGTAGATTTTAAGGGCTTAAGGAGTCCTCAAATCTTAAATTTGAGAAAGTAAAAGAAGATTAATTTGCCTATTTAGATTAGAGACCAATGAAAGTGTCTCAGAGCAGACAAATTTGCTAGTATATTCTGAAAAACAATCCTACTCTACTCAGCCTCATAATGTTATTATGAATAGCTCACTGAACCTATTTCAACCCTAGAACTTAATGCATTTAACAACTTTCAATTTACAAACTTTAATAGGTCACACAAAGTTATTCTCTCTACCAAAATATGGCATAAGTGGGCTTGGGCTTGTATAGCCATTTATTCTGCCTATAATTCGGAAAGACAAAAAATAAAAATAAATCATGTGGCCAGCTGCAGTGGCTCACACCTATAATCCCAGCACTTTTGGAGGCTGAGGTGGGTGGATCACTTGAGGTCAGAAGTTTGAGACCAACCTGGCTAACAGGTGAAACCCCATCTTTACTAAAAATACAAAAATTAGCCAGGCATGGTGGTGGGTGCCTGTAATCCTAGATACTCAGGAGGCTCAGGTGGGAGAATACTTTGAACCCAGAAGGTGGAGGTTGCAGTGAGGTAAGATCACGCCATTGCACTCCACCCTGAGTGACACAGCGAGACTCTGTCTCAAAAAAAAAAAAAAAAGAAAAAGTCATGCAACACATGAGATGTGTTATGTCCAATAGCAGCAAGAGGGAAGAAAAAATGATCAATAAAATTGAAACACTTTCAGTTTTAACATCAAAATTTGCAATTACTTTACTGTTAATACTGGAGAAGGGTAGGAAGTAGTTATTAAGGGAATTTTAAAAGGTTAGGTAGGGTAATAGTTTCATGGTTTTAAGGCCTATGCGCTCCTGCCAAGTTACCAGTGACGGCAGATACCACAGGCATTTAAGAAATGTCCAAAGACTCTCTCAGAGGATTAATAAAGGAAGTTTTCTGTCTGAAAAAGCTTTTTTCATACAGATGAAGTAGGTCTATTCTGGAAAAATTTGTCTAGTAAACATATGTCAATAGGGAAAAATATGCCTAGATGTTAAGCTCTTAGAAATTATCACTTTAATTTGCTGAAATGGATTCAGAGACCTTGAACTTGAGTACCTCATAGCTACACTGGTTAGAAACAAATGGACATTACTAATCTCACTTGATTTTAAGAGAATAGCTTCTGTATATAAGTCACACACATACATACACACACACAAACTTTTTCCTCTAAAAACAGTTAACCTTTAAAGTAACTTATTGTAATAAAACCACAGAGAAGAAGGGCTACACTCAGCAAATTCTACACAAATCACTTTATACACAATGGAAATCTACTCTCAATTATATCAAAAGTCTGTTTGTTTAGAAAAAAAATTCTCATTCATTCACAAAGGTCAAATATGTTTCAACTCCTACTGTGGTCTAAATCTACTGGAGCTAAGATAAATGCTCTTTAATTTCAATAATCAGAAAAGAGACTCTTGGGGCCTTACATGTTGAACAAATAATATTTTGGATACATTGGGTTATATAAAATATATCACTAAAGTTATTTTCACTTATTTCTGTACTTTTTAAAATGTGACTAATAGAAAATTTTAAATTACATAGCTCTTGTATTATTATTCATTGATTGGACAACACTAATTTAAAATAATCCTGCATTAGGGATAAAAGAACATGATTAAACTTTTTGCCCTGAAAACACAGGGATGGGGAATAAACAAACAGAACATATTAAAGGTCTTTTCTAGTCAGTTACATTACACAATACATTTCACTAAGTATTTTTCTTTCCTTACTCATTAATTTAGTTATGATTATGATCTCTGTTTTAAAGCATCATTTCGGTTTTTACCAGACTGAATAAGTAAGTCTTTAGTTTCTTTGAAACTAAAATATTTTCAAGACATTTCAGGAAGGTGTTAATCAGCAGTTTTGATACCCATTTTTACTATTAGTTTTTATTAATTTAATTTATTTTGAGATGGAGTCTTACTCTGATGCCAGATTGGAGTGCGTTGACGCAATCTCAGCTCCCTACAACCTCTGCCTCCTGGGATCAAGCAATTCTCCTCCCTCAGCCACCCGGGTAGCTGGGACTACAGATGCCTGCCACCATGCCCAGCTAACTTTTGTATTTTTAGTAGAGACAGGTTTTCACCATGTTGGCCAGGATGGCCTTGATATCCTGACCTTGTGATCCAACTACCTTGGCCTCCCAAACTATTGATATTACAGGCATGAGCCACCACGCCCGGCACTGATACCCATTTTTAATGTAGGGTTTTTTAAAGAGATGGGGTCTCAGCCCAGCGCAGTGGCTCACACCTGTAATCCTGCACTTTGGGAGACCGAGGCGGGCAGATCAGCTGAGGTCAGGAGTTTGAGGCCAGCCTGCCCAACATGGGAAAACCCTGTCTCTACTAAACATACAAAAATTAGCTGGGTGTGGGGGTGGACACCTGTAATCCCAGCTACTTGGGAGGCTGAGGCAGGAGAATCACTTGAACCCAGGAAGTGGAGGTTGCAGTGACCCAAGGTCGCAGCATTACACTCCAGCCTGGGTGACAAGAGTGAAACTCCATTTAAAAAAAAAAAAAAAGATGTGGTCTCACTCTGTTACCCAGGCTGGAGTGCAGGAGTATGATCTTGGCTCACTGCAGCCTCAATCTCCCAGGCTCAAGTGATCCTCTGCCTCAGCTCCCTAAGTAGCTATGACTAAAGGTGCACATCACCATGACTAAAGGTGCACATCACCATGCCCAGCTAATTTCTGTATTTTTTTGTAGGGACGGCGTTTCGCTATGCTGCCCAGGCTGGTCTTGAACTCCTGAGTTCAGGTAATCCACCCATCTCAGCCTCTCAAAATGCTGGGATTACAGGCATGAGCCACTGTGTCTAGCCTTAACGTAGTTTTAAGGAGTAAACTTAATAGATTAAAAAATCAATTTTTAAATTTCCCTAAGGAGAAAAATAAAAATTACAGCTTCAAAGAAGTCTGATTTGGATTATTTCATCAATCAGAAAGAAAAAGACAGGTTTCAGACTACTTAATTTTCTTATTTTAAAGAGAAGTGACTAAACTAATCCTATATATGATCTGATAATCCTCAAACTATTAGAATGTGCTGCCATAGTAGTATATCCTTTCTCAAGACAAAATAATAACTATAATTTGATACTATACCACTGTCATCATAACAACTAATACTGTCAACAGAGAACTGAATAACTATTGGTTTAGAAATATACAACTGGACTGGGCACAATGACTCAACATCTGTAATTCCAACATTTTGAGATGGAGTCTTACTCTGATGCCAGACTTACTTAAAACAGCAGTGACAAATATTGTAGACCTCGTACTGAATGTGCTCACTCTACATTCAATTCTAGATAAGAATGGATAAGAGGCTGGCAAAATAATTATATCCGCTTTAGACAGTGAGTCTTTAATAGAGCTATGAAATCTCAAGGCTAGTAACAGCAGCAATGACAAATGTGGATAGATAAATTTATAGTTCTTTTGGCTATAGCACATCAAAATTTATGCCAAATAAAAATGTCAATGATTATTCAAAATCATTTTGTTTGCTTTAATTCCGCTCAAGGACTCTTTAAAGTCAACTTGTGAGGTGGTTTTCAAGAAAATCGTGAAAAAGATTTTCAAGAAAATATGTGATATTGAGGAAAAAAGATGGCAGAAATTACATTTACTTTGAATTTCTACAAATCAGAGAAATGTAACCTTTTTTTTCCTACTTAATTTGCAGAAGAGAGAGATCATTAAAGGTAGCTCAGAACTGAGAAGAGGCACAAACCATGAAAGCATTTATCTTCTAACAAAGAGAATGAAAGTACTTGTGATTTTTCAGGATTAGAACATAGTTCAAGGTACGTTTACTGACTAAACAACTGGGTCTGTCACAAGAAGGCAAGTGCTAAGTGGTTTTAACATGAGGGTTGTACGCCAGATTAGAAGCAGAGTTGAGCTACCATTACTGAGCAGCCCACAAGGGCTTTACCTCTTAAGAAAAGGTGTAGGGTAAGTAAAGGTTATTTATACTGTTGTTACTCTTTTTGTTATTAATACTTGCTAAAGCCTGTTACATAACTTGTTTATGTTGTTTAAAAATATATTTTCCATTAAATGTTACTCATATCCAAATAACATTAATGCTTCATCTGGCTAAGGTACCAATTAACTCCCTCTCAGTTATCCACCTCAGAGAAGTTCTAAGGAAGCAGATACATTAGGACAAAATAAAAGTCTTGATAAAGTGGGAAACATAATCTAAAAGCCATGGCAAAAACATCACTTCTAGGCTATCAAAGAAAGGGTTACAGAGAACAGTGTATCTTGACTGTTCAGAACCAAAGTTAGGGGCAAGTATAACCTTGTTTAGAGTGCTATCACCTCTTCTTACAGCATCTTACAGCACCTTACAGCATTCTGAGGATACCCCACTCTGTACCCACACCTGGCCCACAACCATGACCTAACTATAAAGCCATATTAAAATTTAATGACATTTTTAAAGTACCCTAATATTTATCTCACAACTGGATTCTGGACAGTATGGTTGTTTTTGGCATTAATGATCATAGCAGCTGTTTTTCATGCTAAAAAGAGGCAAGAAGTGACTAATAGAACATTGGAAGGCCAGGTGTGATGGCAGATGCATGTATTCTCAGCACTTTGGGAGGCCAGCGCAGGCAAATCACTTGAGGCCAAGAGTTCATGACCAGCCTGGCCAATGGTGAAACCTCGTCTCTACTAAAAACACAAAAAATTAGCCAGGCCTGGTGGCACATGCTACGTGGGAGGCTGAGGCACAAGAACTGCTGGAACCCAGGAAGCAGAGGTTGCAGTGAGCCCAGACTGCACCACTGCACTCCAGCCTGGGGGACAGAGTGAGACTCTGTCTCAAAAAAAAATATTGAGAAAGCAAAAATAGAGATGATTTTAAGATGTTATCTTTCCTTCAGAGGAAAACAGGTTTAGTATCTCCCACATAAACTATAAAAAACATAGTAGAAATCAAAAAAATGGCTAGGCACGGTGGCTCGCACCTGTAATCCCAGCACTTTGGGAGGCTGAGGCAGGCGGATCACCTGAGGTCAGGAGTTTGAGACCAGCCTGGCTAACATGGTGAAACCCCATTTCTACTAAAAATACAAAAAATTTGCTGGGCATAGTGGTATGAGCCTGTAATTCCAGCTACTCGGGAGGCTGAGGCAGGAGAATTGCTTAAACCCTGGAGGCGGAGGGGGCAGTGAGGTGAGATTGCGCCACTGCACTCCAGCTTGGGCAACAAGAGTGAAACTCCATCTAAAAAAAAAGCGGTCCTGTGGCTCACGCCTGTAATCCCCGACGTGAGGTCAGAAGTTCAAGACCAGCGTGGCCAACATGGACTAATAATACAAAAATTCACCGGGCGTGGTAGTGCATGCCTGTAATCCCAGCTACTCCAGAGGCTGAGGCAGAATTGCTTGAACCCAGGAGGTGGAGGTTGCAGTGAGCCAAGATCACGCCACTGCACTCCAGCCTGAGCAAGAGTGAGACTCGGGCTCAAAAACAAAAACAAAAAAAAAAAAAAAAAAAAAAACAACGACAACAAAAATCTCATAGGCCTGACAGAAGAGATACTGTCATAAAACAGACTACCTGGGATAGCTAAAACTATAACAAATTTTATGAAGATGAGAAGGAAAAAGAAAACCTAACATAAGAGGGGAGAAAGGTTTCTAACTTCTCTCCTTATCCAAAGGAACAAAAATATAGAGAAGTGACAGATCATTTACCTTGTTCACTGGATTCTCTTATGTAGGGCTTAAGGTGAGACATTTTGATAGGTCTTTTCAGTCTAGCCCCAGTGTTGTCTCTCAGGACAGCACATCCACTTTCTGTAATATAGTCTATGACACAAGGACCAACCCATTCAGACTGAAAACGACCATCCTTCCACCAATTTTTCCTTTGTCTTAAAACTTCATGACCCACTTTTAAGTGAAATGGATTTAATTGCTTTGGTTTCTTTTTAACAATGATCCTGCTTTTATTTAGTTCATCCAAATTGTTGTTCTCCATCTACAAGTGTAAAAAGAAAAAGAACAAAGAGATGAACGAGTTATAGTATCTTGAAAGTAAATGTAGATAATGAGAACATTATAACGAAATGGTTACTTACTGGGATGCTACTAAAAGATAGGCATGAATTCTATTTAATTCTTAAAACAACATTTCAAAATCAGTATTATTAACCCTACTTTATATAAAAGGTAAACTAAGATAGGTTAAGTAATTTGCCTAACTCAAACAACTCAAAGCAGTTAAGATTATAGGTTTGAATCCAGCCGTACTTGATTCCAAAATCCATAGCTTTCTCATTATTGCCTCTCAGCATTTCACAGCAAGTAAACCAACTACTTAGTCTACTTAATCAAGACAGGCAAAATTTGATAGATAAAAAATTTTGGCATGTAAGGGTATATTGTGTGTGTGTGTGCATGCACACATGTATATACTGCAACTTTAAATATAACTTTATAAAGTTTTAGATTACAGTTTTTATATTAAATAGAATCACCTGGCCCATTGAAGTTGTCTTATTCTCCATTATTTTATCAGCTTCTTTAATTGCATCTAGAATTTTGGCAAACATACTTGCATTATCACCATCCACTTCATGAACGCTATCTGAACTCTCAGGCATATAAGGATTTCGATTAAACATTTGAAAATATGGTGTATTTTTTGTAGGCTCCTATTTTAAAGAAAATAAATGTCAATTTTGTAATAAAACATTTATCTGGCCAAGAAATAGTCACAACTCAGAAGTACAGAATTATAAAAAGGCACATACCAAGTGAGTTACATTGAAGGCAAATGAAACAGCTGACAGGTGATCATCCCAATTGTTTGGGTGGTCAGCACAGTGTTTGGAGAGAAATGTTTTGATTGTGCTAGGTGTACTTTCTGTTGGATTAACAGTTCCAGAGGCAGGAGAAATTACAATTTGCTTTATGCCAAACAATCTGCACAGTTCAACATTGATCTGAAAAATATGTAAAACAAAGCTGGCTTTTTAAAATTTGTGTTTTATTTTTCCATTGACTTAAAAAAGGCTTCAAAAGAATTAGAATCTTGCCTTTTTATTGACCATAACATTCTATACAAAAACATACATCAAATATGTAAAATTTTATGCATAAAATATGTATAAAATAGTGGTTACCATTTATTGAGTCTTTACCATATGCTGCTGATCATCACACTAGACGCTTTACACTATTGTCATTAAATCTTACAACAAGTTTTTGAGGCTGAAGCTTTAAGAGATTAAGTGTCTTGCATAATACACACATACAACATGGGAGAATAGAACTTAATACTAACTTTGAGTTTATTTTTTTCTTTTTTTGGGGGATGGGGAGACAGGGTCTTGTTCTGTCGCACAGGCTGGAGTGTAGCCTCCATCACCTGGGCTCAGGCAATTCTCTCACCACAGCCTGCCTAGCAGCTAGGACTACAAGCATCTGTCACCATGTCCAGCTAATTTTTAAATACTTTGTACAGATGGAGTTTCGCCATGTTGCCTAGGCTGGTCTCAAACTCCGGACTCAAGCAATCCACCCACCATAGCCTTTAACAGTGCTGAGATTACAGGCATAAGCCACTGAACTCAGCCCTCAAGTAATTTTTTAATTTAGTAGACAGTCTCTCAAAAAAAAAAAATAAATAACAAACCACACTAGGTCATAAGTTAATGTTTATAAAGCACTTAAAACGGTTATTGACAGTAATAAGTATTTTATAACTTTTAACTGCTACTATTATTGTTACTGTATTATGTGCAGCACTTAAAAGAAACGAAGATGAGTTTACAATACTTGTAACAGCAAGCCTGTTAAATATAAAATAATTTTTCCTATGTCATCCTTCAGACTTATTTTTTCCTTATTATTTTGAGTTCAGTAAAACTTTGGCTCATAAATCTGTCTTTTAAAATGACTGTTTCAGATGAGTAGTATCAGAATAACTAAATAAGCAAAGTTAATACGAGAGGGGTAAGCAACAAAAAGAAAACTACATTTCCCAGACTCCCTTGCAGGTAGGGGTGGTCATGTGATGTAATTCTAGCCAAAAAGTTGTAAGTAAAAGTTGGGCAAACTCAGCTGGTACTAGCTTTGTTTGCTCATTACTCTCCCTCTTCTTTCTGACTGAAATGTAGGCATTGTAGAATGTGCTCTGACAGCCATGTTGTGAATACAACAGGAGTGACTATCACTGCCAACATATATTGGGATAATATACATAAAACATATATTAATGTATTGGGATAGGGAAAGGCAGTCTGTTACTTCGATTGAATACACTTCCTAGCTGATATACATACTAATTCAGGCTGCCTATCTTTAATTAAACAGTAATTAGAAAGAAATCCCAGAAAATAGTTGTCATTTGGGTCAGCTTCAATCTGTGTCTTGATCAATGGTTTTAAATGACCCTTGAAAAAGCCTTTAACTTCCTTTCAAGAGGTTGCCTAGGAATGGTCCAGGGAATCCATTTGTGAAATGCTATCTTGACAGCCTTGCCCTAGCAGCCCCTCTACCATCAAATCAGATATTCTGTCAGTCCTTACAATTTTAGTTTTCTGTAAGACATTTTTAAAAATTAACTTTCTTACTAATAATGTTTATTCTCTTTCCTTCAGAGGCTTACAAAAAGTTATTTGTGCATTTTATTGAAACAATTTAGCAAATACTCTAAGCTATGTTAGAAACATCTGTATTTTTATTCAACTATATAATAAACCTCCCACACTGTCTATTATGTTATAATCTTTGGCAGTGTTTTCTGTATCAGTATTTGCAGACAAAAGAGTTCATTTTGAAATGTCATCATTATGCTTTCTGTGTAATAGTGAGGCCATTTTAATCACAGAAAAAAGAAAGTTTTCCCAATGTTATGTCACATTTTTGGTTTTTTGTTTAAGCAACCTCACAAAATAGGCCTGCAAGTGTTACTTGTTCCCCCCCACCCCCATTTTTTTTTGAGACAGGATCTCACTCTTACCCAGGGTGGAGTGCATGATCTTGGCTCACTGGAGCCCTCAACCTCCTGGGCTCAAGCGATCTTCCCATATCAACCTCCCAAGTAGCTGGACTACAGGTGTGTGCCCCACACCCCTGACTAATTTTTGTATTTTTTGTAGAGATTGTATTTCACCATGCTGCTTAGGCTAGTCTCAAACTCCTACGCTCAAGTGATCCACCTGCTAGGATTACACCCCAGCCTATTATTACTTTTTTTAATTTGAGACAGGGTCTCACTGTTGCCCAAACTGGAGTGCAGTGATGAAATCATAGCTTACTGCTGCCTTGATGTCCTGGGCTTAAGTGATGCTTACATAGCCTCCTGAGTTGCTGGGATTATGGGTGTGCAACACCACGTCCAGCTAATTGAAAAAAAAAAAAAATTTTTTTTTTTTTGGTAGAGTCTTGCTATATTGCATCGGCTAGTCTTGAACTCCTGATCTCAAGTTATCCTCTCACCTCAGTCTCTCAGAAAACTGACATCACAGGTGTTAGCTACCACGCTTGGACCTATTGTTACCTGTAGTAAAATTTTCAAAGTCCTGGATTGGTTACCAAATAACTTTAAACACAATTGGAAAAACTGCTAGCTAATCATAATGGCTTCAAATAATCATTAGCAAATACCTTGAAACATTATATGCACTTAGGGTAAGGCTCTTCATTAATAAAAGTGGAAGTGAACCAATATTTCAAAGCAATTCTTCATAATTTTGAATTTGATGGGCAATTTCCTATCATATCTGATAAATGTGGTTTCCCTTTATCTTCAGAGAATACGTTCCAAGGCCCCTAGTGATACTGCAGGTAGTACTGACTCTAACTATACAAACTCTAACTATACTACGTTTTTTCCTATATATACATAATTATGAGAGACTTTAATTTATAAATTAGGCACAGTAAGAGATTAATAACTAATAATAATTTATAACTAATAACACCTAATAAAAATATTGTTACTCTTCCTATTAAAATAGGACGAGTAACAATATGCCAACATTACTACTCATGCACTTTGGGGCCGTTCTTAAGTAAAATAAAGGTAACGGATACAAACCACGACATTTGATCTGATAACCAAGATAGCTACTAAGTGACTGATGGGGGGAGGGAGTAGCACATACAATGAGGATATGCTGGACAAAGAGATGATTCACATCCCAGTTGGACAGAACAAGACAGCATGAGATTTCATCACAATACTCAGAATGGTGTACAATTTAAAAACTTATAAATTGTTTATTTCTGGAATTTCATATTTAATATTTTTGGACTGTAATTGACTATAGTAACTGAAACCTCAGAAAGTAAAACTGCAGATAAAGAGGGAGTATTCAAGTTACTATTTGTTTTCATCTCATTGATGTGTCTAACAAAGAGCTGGAAGTTAAGTAGATGTGCCAGCACTATTTTCTTGTGGTGGATGGGTGATTGCCTTTTAGTATTGTTTGGCTTCATTGCAAGAAATCTAAGCTCCCTGGCCACTTTGTGAATAGTGTGGTGAATGGTAGATGATATCCATACATTCAATCAACTGCTGAAAGCAAAAGTATCAGTGGCGAAACGTGCATTCTCCCTTTTCTTTCAGGATACCTTCTCATAGCATGTGTGACATACCTGTCTTGTTGCCTGAGTTAGGATGCTAATATCAATCTGTATACATTATTAATAAAGCTTCATTTCTTTTTTTGTTTTTAAATATGAATAGAAGTTCTAATAGCCTTCCCCCAAACTGGATTGCACCCACAACCATGCCCAGCTAATTTTTGTGTTTTTTTGTAGAGATGGGGTTTTGCCGTCTTGCCCAGGCTGGTCTTGAAGTCCTGAGCTCAAGTGATCCACCCACCTCAGCCGCCTAAAGTGTTGGGATTATAGGCGTGAACCACCAGGCCTGACCGATCATGGGTTTTTAATCTGGAAGTAAAGATTATTTGGTCCAACCTCCTCATTTTAATCTGAAAATAGGTTTACAATAACCCACAGTAAGTATTAAAATCTTAATCTCCTAATTTCCAGTACAACTATCCTTGTAGTATTTAATATCATACCTCTATACCTATAGCAATTTATCTGAATTTATTAAGCACTCTGTAATATAATGCACAAGGCACTGGTTCTGGACACTGAAAGGGAGTAAGATATGATCCCAGACCTAAGTTGTTTATTTGTCTTACCTGTTGAATGAATTCATCTCTTTGGTCCATTATTATTTTCTGAGGAGGTCCATATAAGAAAAATATATTGATAATAGCTTTAGAAACTTCTGATGCTGAAACATCACAAAGAGGCAAAATCATAACCCATTTGGTGAATAAATCTGTCATGATTATAGCATACACATGACTTCTGTTGCTTGTATGAAAAGGCCCCATCAGATCAGCAGTAACTAAACTCCATGGATTGTCCACCTTGAGAAGGTGCTGTTTCGGTGCTACAATAACTGTATTTTTTGCTACTTGGCAATGCTGACAAGCGTATACCTACAAACAGGCACACAATAGAGAAAATACATACAAATGTTAATACTCAACACAATATAAAAGCAGTCTTATAAATCTGAATTTTAAAATGATTAATAGGTACACTTTCTGTTTTGAAGGAGAAACTTCCGGACTGAGAATCACTGGATTAAACCTATTTAGAACAACAAATAAGTAAAACAATAACAAACAACTGTAGTTGCTATTACAGCTGACCCTCAAAAAACATGGGTTTGGACTGTGAAGGTCAGCTTGTACATGGCTTTTTCAACCAAACACAAACAAAAAATACAGTATTGGTAGGGAGGGATGTGAAACTCAAGTAAACAGAGCTGACTTCTTATATATGCAAGTTCCACAGGGCCGACTGCAGGACTTCGGTATGAGTACATTTGGTTATATGAATGCGGTGCTAGAATCAATCCCGTGCATATACTGAGGGAAGATTATACTACCAAATGACCATCTTATGGGTCTTATTCACACGGAACATAAATGTGATTCATAATCAATATTTATAAAATGCTTAAAAAGATCTTGTTTCCTATAATTTAAAATCAGTATGAAGACTTACAATAATTTCTATATGCACAAAATGTTTCCTTTAAAATTATCACATTAAGAAGTTGATTCATTAATCTATTCCAACCATATTTATTGAAATATAATTTCATTCATAATATATGCTGGAAAATTTTCTAGGTCATGGAAAAAGAATAAACATAAACAAAACCCATGCTGTTCTGCAGCTTTCATTTGAGTGAGGTGAGAAAAGATTAAAGATTAACTGATCAATTTATGGATAGGTGCCATTTCTCTATAGATTTCTGGAATTCTACCCTGGAAACTACTTTCAAACTAGCTGCTGAAGAAAAATTTAAAAGTCATTTAATCACATTATAAAGTCATTTAATCACATTATAATCACAGTTACTTTTGATCAGAATTTTCATTTTCCAATTTAAACTTATTTGTTGGATATCACAAATAACTTCTGATTATTCCCAAAAGTCATATCATTCTTAAATGATAATAATTTGACAGATTTCACTGAATGTTTATAAAAAATGCATGGCAGGGAAAATACATAAATTATGAAGGTCTTTGGAATGCCTGAATAGATCCATAAACCAATAACTCACAAATGATACTTAGTTAAATGTTGGTTTAATTCCTTATGCTTGAAATGCCAGTATTTTTGATGCACTACTACAATTATTAAGGAGATCTCATATATATTCCAAGGAATTCCTACCATTTGGTATACAGTGCACTGGAAAGAGGAGGATCAGTAGACTTCCAGCAAGAACCCCAGAATTCCTATAGGTGAATTTTCTATTAGGAGAAGTTGAAGGTCCAAATGGGTCACAAAGTTACAAAACTCAGACTTATTTCATTATCCTGAAAATTTGATTTTAGTTTTATTTGGTTTGGGTTGACATTCTACCTCAAGATGAAACAGGCACAATAGATGAGAACACATACTTTCCTGTTCAAATTATACTTAAGTGATTCAAAACAACTGTGAAGGAAAATACAACTTCCTTTAAGTG